GCAGGACTTCAAGAGTAAAATCTCCAGATGATTCCTGGGGCCATACAGCGATAACACCAGAAGGTTCAAGCAGATGAGTGTGTGACTGGAGATATGGTGCAGGAGGGAGGGCTTCAGAGTCCTGAGGCATTGTCCATCTCTGGGTGAGGTTGGAACTGTGCAAGTTAAATGGGTTACATCAGGGACACAACTGACATTCTCGTGGGCAGGTTTGCCAAAACCGTTTGTGTGAATTTAAATTGGAATGACAGTGGGATGATCTGTAGCTCAGTGGAGGAGAGAGGCTGAAATGGAATTCAAAGCTAAGACATAGTGAACCTGGAAGGCAGAAATTCACCAAGACTCCTTAGAAAGCTCCTTCCAAATCCATGACCACTACCATTAAAAAGGATAAGGGCAGCTGATATATGGGAACACATTCACCTGCAAGCCATCGTCATTCTGACTTGGAAATGCAATGCCTTTCCTTCAGTTTTGCTGGGCCAAATTCCTGGAATTACCTCCTTGAAGGAATCGTAGGAGTATCCATATCCAGAGAAAACAAAGGCTAGAGAAGAAAAACTGGGTTTAGCAAGGTTAACTGGGATATGTTTTAATATAAGCATCCTAAGGAGTAATGTAGATGAGTTGAGGGAAATTGTAATTATATGGGAGCATTTGTTTTTATTCAGTCATGTTATGGAGATGTTGTTGGCTGACCAGCTTTTATTGCCCAGCCCCAGTTGCCCTTGCGAAAGTGGTGGTGAGCTGCCTTTTTAAACCGCTGCAATTCTTGTGATATGGATACTCCTACGATTCCTTCAAGGAGGTAATTCCAGGAATTTGGCCCAGCAAAACTGAAGGAAAGGCATTGCATTTCCAAGTCAGAATGACGATGGCTTGCAGGTGAATGTGTTCCCATATATCAGCTGCCCTTATCCTTTTTAATGGTAGTGGTCATGGATTTGGAAGGAGCTGTCTAAGGAGTCTTGGTGAATTTCTGCTGTGCATCTTGTAGGTAGTACACACTGCTGCTACTGAGAGTCAATGGTGGATGGAGTGGATGTGGTGCCAATCAAGCAGGCTGTTTTGTTCTGGATAGTGTCAAGCTTCTTGAGTGTGGTTGGGTCTACACTTGTGCAGGCAAGTGGGGAGTATTCCATCACACTGTTAACTTGTGCCTTGTAGATGGTGGACAAGCTTTGGGAAGCCAAGAGGTGAGCTATCCACTGCAGGATTCCTCGCCTCTGACCTAATCTTGTAGCCACTGTGTTTATGTGGTGAGTCCAGTTGGGTTTCTGGTCAATTTATAACCTCCAGGATATTGATTGTTTGGGATTCAGTGATGGCAATGCCACTGAATGTGAAAGGGTGACGGTAAGCTTCTCTCTTGTTGCAGATGATCATTGCCTGGCACTTTTGCAACCCAAATGTTGCCATCAACATTCCCTCTAAGCTGCTTCCATGTAGGCTAATCGGCAGACTATGCATTGACATCTGCTCTTGGAAGTTGATGGTCTTAGACTTTGATGTTCCCACGGCAGTAAAACAATTAAGGAGCATAGCTTGCCATGTGCCAACCCAATCTGAATATTGCCCTATTCTTGCAAATGGACAATAGGAGTAGTGAATGGTGCTGAATTGTGGCAAAACATTCAAGGAGGAAATAGTAAAATTTTAAGGCAAATACATTTTCTTAAGGACAAAGCATGGGGCCAAGTCCAGAGAACCTGGATGTCAAGGGACATAAAGATTAGGATTAAGGAAAGAAGTTGAGTTTATGGGAAATCACTAGGGGAGTACTAAGAGTGCAGGGGAGAACTTAGAAGGAAATTAGGAAAGCAAAGAGAGTGCATGAGAAAGCATTGGTGGATAGAATAAAGGAAAACCCAAAGACGTTTATTTTGAACATATAAAAAGCAAGATGCCAACAAGGAAAAGAGCAGAGCCCATTAGGGACCCTAGAGGCAATCTATGTGTTCACTCGGAAGATGTGGGCACAGGCCTCAATGAATACTTTGCATTGATCTCCACAATGGAGATGAATGAAGCAAGTATATACAACAGGATGGGAGGACTGTGAAATATTAGAAGAGATTAACATGAAGAAAGAGGAGCTATTATCATGTTTAGCAGCTTTAAAAGTGGATAAGTCTGCAGGCCTGGATGAGATTGAATCATAGAATCATGCAATATAGAAGGTGCCATTTGGCCCATCATATGTGCACTCACAAAAAACTACTCTAAATCTGTACTTGTCCCAATTTCCAGCATTTGGCCCATCATCTTAATTGCAATGACATTTCAAGTGCTTATCCAAGTACTTTTGAAAGGTTTTGCGATTTCCCACCTTAACTACTCTCCTAGTAAATTCTAGAGTCCCACTATCCTTTATGTGAAAAATGTTTACCTCAAATCCACTCTAAACCTTCACCTTAAAATTATGCCCCTTCATTATTGAAGCTTCAACTAAGGAGAACAGGTGCTTCCTATCCACCCTGTCAATGCCCCGCATAATCTTATGCAGCTCAATTAGGTCCCCCCTCAGACTTCTTTACTGTAAAGAAAACAACCTAAACCTATCCAGCCTCTCTTTTTCGCTAAAATGCTCCAACCCAGGCAACATCCTCTTTCCTCCAGTGCAATCACATCCTTCCCAAAGTACAGTGACCAGAACTGCACACCGTACTCCAGCTATAGTCTAACCAAAGTTTTGCATGGCTCCAACTTAACCTGCTGCATCCCTCTCTCATCAGAAATTAGAAAATTTTTTCAATTTCACCTCCAATTTCCACCCTGCTCTCAACTTCACCTGGTCCAGTCCTGACTACTCCCTTCCCTTCTTCAACATCAGTTTCCATTTCTGGGGATAGACTGGCTACCAATATCCATTACAAACCTGTTGGGTCCCACATTTACCTTGACTATATATCCTCACACCTTGCTTCCTGTAAGGACTCCATTCTCTCAGTTGCCCTGTCTCTGTTGTATTTGTTGTAATGATGCAACCTTCCAAAGGATGCCTCAGAAATCACAGAATTCCTGTAGTGCAGATAGAGGCCATTCAGCCCTGCACCATTCCCCCCCGCCTCTGAGAAGCATCCCACCCTATCCCTGTAACCCACATTACCATTGTTAATCCACCTAGCCTGCACATCAGTATGGGGCAATTTAACATGGCCAATCCACCCAACCTGTACACCTTTGGGCTGTGGGATGAAACCTGGAAACCCACGCAGCCTTGGGAAGAACATGCAAACTCCACACAAACAGTTGCCCAAGGCTAGTATTGAACCCAAGTCCTTGGTGCTGTGAGACAGCAATGCTAATCACTATGCCACTGTGCCACCCCAAATGTCCACCTTTATCTTCAACCGAGGACTCCCTGCCTTCATGATTGACAGGGCCCTCTGTATGTATTCCAGGCTGGAGAGGCGGCAATGACAGAAATATCAGGGGCCCTAGTCGTAATTTTCAAATGCTTCCTAGCCACAGGTGAAATGTCAGAACACTGGGGGACTGATAATATTGCTCCATTACTAAAAAAAGGAAGAAAGGGATAGAGACAACACAATTTGGAGCTGGAGGAGCACAGCAGGCTAGGCAGCATCAGAGGTTCAGGAAAGTTGACGTTTCGGGTCAGGACCCATCTTCAAAAATAAGGTGGGGGAAGGGAGCTCAGAAATAAGTAGAGACAGGAGGGGTGGGGGCTGGGGATGGTAGGTGGTATGGTGATAGAGACAAATAGGCAGGGAGTGTTGGGGATTGGTTGGTGGGAAGGGTGGGGCAGATAGGTGAGGAAGAAGATGGACAGGCTGTGTCAAGTCAAGGAGGCGGGGATGAGAGGGAGGGTTGGATATCGGATGAGGTGGGGGTGGGGAAATTTTAAAACTGGTGAATTCTATGTTAAGGCCATCGGGCTGTAGGCTTCCAAGATGGAATATGAGGTGTTGCTCCTCCAGTTTGCAGAGGGGTGTCATTGTGGCACTGGAGGAGCCCCAGGATGGACATGTCACCCAGGGAGTGGGAGGGGGTAGCTGTGGGAGTTGGTGGGTTTGAAATAGACATCGGCGTTGAGGTGGTTACCTGAGATGGAGACGGAGAGGTCCAGACAGGGGAGAGAGTTATAGGAGACGGTCCAGGTGAATTTGAGGTTGGGGTGAAAGGTGTTAGTAAAGTTGATGAACTGTTCAAGCTCCTCGTGGGAGCACAAGGCAGTCATCAATGTAGTTGGGGAAGAAGTAGGGGATAGTGCCAGTGTAAAGGCGGAAAGGGATAGACTAGGAAATTACAAGCCAGTCAGTCTAACCATGGAGGGAGTGAAGTTATTCAAAAGAATACTGAGGAATGGCCAATATCTGAACATATGGAATATTTGCCTTTATTAGCCAGGGCAATTACTACAAAAGCAAGGATATTTTGCTGGAACTGTATAAAATGCTGGTTAGGCCACAACGGGAGAACTTCATGTCATTCTGGTCACTACATTCTAGGAAGGATGTAACTGCACTAGAGAGGGAGAAAAGGGTAATTTACCAAGATGCTGCCTCGGCGAGAGGGTCTAAGCTTTGAGGAAAATTGGATAGGTTGGGATTGTTCTCCTTAGAGGGGTATAGGTTGAGAGGGGACCTAGGAGAGGTGTATAAGATTATGAGCAGCATAGATGGGGTGGATAGGAAGGCACTTTTTTCATTAGTAGAGGGTCAATAATCAGTGGCATAGATTTAAGGTAATATATAATGGGCTAAGAGGAAGGTTGAAGAGAATTTCCTTCATCCAGAGGGTGGTGGGAACTCACTGCCTGAATGAATGAGTGAATGAGTCATAAACTCTGGTGACATTTAAGTTGTACTTACATATTCACTTGTGTTGTTATTGTCCAAGGTTATGGTCCAAGAGCTAGAAAATGCTGTGAGTAGAGTCAAATCTTTATTGCCCAACAAAGACATGATGGGCTGAATGGTCTCTTTCTGACCTCTAAATGTCTATGAATCTATAAAATGTTTTGTTCCAGCTGCAGTACACTGCTTTAATGGTTCTTTACCCTGTGGATCCAGTGGACAGTGTATCCCAGTAACACACCGATGTGACGGTGACATTGACTGTAGAGATTTCAAATCAGATGAATCGAGCTGCTCAGGTATGAAAACAAATCAAAAAATATTTAATTACAAAATTGTTTACTTTTTTAAATGTTTAATCTAATTTCGCAAATATACCTTAATATTTCATTTATTAATAACATTGGCAATTTAATGTGCTCTTGTTGCAGAATGTCCTAATGCCTATTGTAAAAATGGAGGAACATGTATTATCGATAACAGAATTGCAATGTGCAAGTAAGTGTTTGTGTAATCATTACAGGGCATTTTATAAATACCTGATAAGAAATTCAAAAATTCAAGCTTCACCTCTTCCTGTCGTTAATGCAGATTGTCAGAGGAGGGCAAATTGCAGAATGCTGTGAAGCCATCTGCTCTACTCATTACAAATCCAAATGTTTGTAATTTGTATTCTTACGGTGCCATAATGTTGCAGATGCCATTTAAGAAAGGAGAATCATCTTGACTATCAAGCAAGCAGGCAGTACTGAGTTACACTGACAAGCCTGCACTGTTGTCAGTTCAGAGGAAGGGGAAGCTTGGGGTATACATTCCGTAAGATTGTTCATCACTATCTGAAGGCCGATGACAATTTTAATGTCAATTTGCAAGCTAGATATTTTGTCTTTGTTAATGTTCACAGCTTTAAAGACATTCACATGAGAACTCTTTAAGATTTTACGTTAAAGATTATTTTGTCCCTTTAGATGGAATTTATACCACAGTTTGGGGTATCGGTTTAGCTCAGTTGGCTGGACGGATAGTTTCTGAAGCAATGTGATGCCAACAGTGTAGATTCAGTTCCCATCACCAACTGAGGTATGGTAGCCCTCAGGTTAAATCACCGCCAGTTGTCTCTCTCTAGCGAGGCTAGTAAGACTATGGTGACATAAATACCAAATACCAAGTTGGTGCATGTGTGACAGACTTTGTCTCCTCAAAGAAGAGTTCTCATATTGGAAACTGTATCCTGATGTCCACATATTCTGTATAAAAGCTTAAATCTACTTCCCTGTAACAACAAAATGCATATTGATCCTGAAGTATAAAGGTTATATTATAGGACCAGTAATTCTGTGGCATGGATTAATGATGCAGAGAATCAGTCACGCATGGGACTGTTGCCTGAATCCATTCAAACAATCACAGGGAGTACAGTAAATGTCGGTTGACTCTTCAGTCATACTTTTCACTGGCTGCCCCTCTATTTTGTGGGTGTGCTGCCAGAGCAGTTTACAAACTGAACTATTCAGGATGGTTTTAATGTAGCCTGTTGCTATAAGAACCATGAAACTGAGCCTTGTTAATCATGGAAGTGGCCCCTCATCAGTCACACAACTCTCCCAACCATTGGCATCAATATGTCAGTGAGGCTCATTCATGAGGGAATTGCTGTCTATTATTGCTGCAATTCAGCGGTGCCACAGCAGGAATCACACTGCCAAGCACTCTGTGCCCAATTAAGGGACCTGGCTTCAGATAAGGGAGGTACTAAAGGTCACTTCCCACTCCCTCGACCATTGTCTCTGATCCCCCATTCTCTATTCCTGCAACCTCCACCCCTGATCCTGTTTCTGGCTTCATATCCCTTTGGCCCGAAGTCCCTAAATGACATTGGACCTCTAGTGGGTGCATTACTAGTAGCTGCCAGCACTTCCAATGGTGATGATGAACAATGGAGAGCTTCTGGCCTCATTAATGCATACTAAATCTAAATGTTGACCTCCTGCACAATTAATATCATTGGACATCTCTAGGTGAACTAACAGAAGGTTTCAATAGCTATTTACCTGATGGGTAAGGAGTCTTTAATACTAATTAAATCCAAAAAGTACACTAACCATTATGAAAGGCTGTTGCTTGGTAATGACCATTTTTACAGATGGAAGCGATGTTGAGCAGTCCTTTTTTTTTCTCATGCCATATTCCTTTTATCTTTTTCCTTCTAGCTCACCGTACCCATTCTGCATCACAAACTCATAATAATTTCATCAGCTATTCATTTCATCTTACTCTTATACTCAAAGCTAATCCTTAGACTGGATTTCCATAATGAGCTTAGCAACATGAGTCTGGCCAGTACCCAACTTCAGAAATCCAAGCCCTCCACCTCTGCCCATTTTCACCATGTTTTCATCACCTGAGATGTTGGCGTGCAGAGTTCAGATTTCCTGACTCCCGAGGCAGGATCGGAGTTGTGTGGATAGCAGGGCAGGCTGGATGTAAGGTCAGCCTTGGTATGTTGCAACATTGGCCCAGTTCTCCATCTCATTCTTATGGGCCCTACACTTCACTCTCCGCTGTCCAACTGCCACACCCCTCCATGCCCCCTCATGCTCCTTATGTCTATTCCATGCCCCTCCATGTCACCTTAAACGCTTATGCATTCTCCAAGATCTCACATATTCACCATGGCACTCTATAGCCCTCATGCCCCCAGGTCCCTCTGTGCTCCTATGTATTCTCCAAAGGCTCACCTAGTATCCACTATCCACAGTCCTCAGAAGACATGTATTAGTATTTTCTGAAGAAGGGTCTAGGCCCGAAACGTCAGCCTTCCTGCTCCTCTGATGCTGCTTGGTCTGCTGTGTTCATCCAGCTCTACACCTTGTTATATTAGTATTGAGTGGTCTTTTAAATGGAGAAGAGAAAGGACACCTCTAACAATTTAAAACAGTTTTTATTCAAAAGCACAAGTATCTCCCTAATAAAAATTCTAAAACTCCAAACAACACATCAGACTCAATGAAAATCAGTGAATCTTTTCAAGTGTTCATTTAATTTTAAAAACAAAAATGTATTCAGTCATAATATCAAAGACAGGTTCCATCTTCTCCTTTATCCATCTTCTATCCACCTCCCCTTCTCTCCCTGTTTATTTCAGAATCCCCTACCCCTCCCCCATTCCTGAAGAAGGGTCTCGACCCAAAACGTTAGCTTTCTTGCTCCTCTGATGCTGCTTGGCCTGCTGTTTTCATGCAGCTCTACACCTTATTATCTCAGATTCTCCAGCATCGGCAGTTCCCACTGTCTCTAATATTTTAATTACCTCTTAAAACTATAAGACAGACTGTGTACATAACCTTCTGTTGAGACATAGGTCAGTAACATTTGATACAGAGCCAAGCCTCCATAATGGTCTCAGTTGTCAAAATCAATCCTTGAAACTACAGTTAATGGAACATTGCAGTTTCTGGAACATATTGTAACTGGGTAAATGGATGCTTTCTTTTGGACCTACACCAAATGGACTGTCCATCAAAGCAGTCCAGGACCAGGTAACTATTTTCTTTGCTCAGTGAAAGCTGGAAACAATTTAAATTTCAAATTTAAAGTGCTATAGAAAACCAAATCACTTCAGATCATGTCATTTGGTTCGTTGAGCAATATTTTCTTAAGAAAAGAATGCATATGCAATCTACATTCCATGATAAGCACTTAGAGCTTACTAAGTTAAGTAAGACAAAATAAATCTGAGCAGTGATCTGGAAGCTGGTAATATTCATGGCAATGAAGCAAAATGATTCCTCTGGATCTGTTAATATCCTTAAAATGCTCCAAGTGCTTGGGTTGCGCTTTGCTACAGCATCATCAAACACGACCTAACTTTGAGCCTCAACATCAAGAATACAAAAAAAAGCATTTATCATTCACTTATCACTTGATGATACCCTTTGGCAGTTGGAAAAGGTTAAAAGCATTCCTGGTGAGAAAAACAGGGAAGAGGGATAGAGAAAGTTAAACAGTAAGAATGAAAATGGCCAAGAGAGGAAACAAATAAATAATTTGCAGTAATTAGATAAAAAAAAGACAGCACTAGAAATCAATTGATGAACAATTTATTTCATCCATAAGCATTAACACAGAAGATCCACTTGCAGATATGCTATGTATATTTTTATATAGAAAGTAGATATCATTTATCTTGTGACAGTTAAAAAATTATTGCAAGATTTTTATTTGATGCTGTCATCAAGGAATTGTGAAAAAATAATCCTGTGGAGTTTTGCGATCTATCAGGCTAGGTTTCCCTGGCAGTCCTGCAGTACTGTGAATGACACTTTTACAAAAGCACCTGGACAGATTAAAATGGGACATTAATATTCATTTGATCATGCCAATCTTTCCTGTACAAAGTCAAACAAATTGATTTCTAGCATTTTGTGCTTTGAATTTCTTGTAGTGTACTTTGCCTTTTCTTTCACTACGTTCCAGATGGGAAATTGATCATTTTCCCCAGATTTGTTTGTTGCTGGACCAGCTGAGTCCGCTTTACCTTATGAGTAAAGCAATTGAACTATTTGAAGTGGGTTCTCTTGATGTATTCAGAACGATTGCTAACACCAGAAAGTAGTAGGAACCCAAAGCAACATCATGCAAGTTTTGTCTAGATGTACCAAGTGTGTTGTGGTCTATCTAGTGATCCTTAAAGGTACCAGTGAAGGACACTTGAGAAATTCTCCTAAACAAAAATTGCCCAAAAAGCTATGGTTCTGCTGGTGTGGACACACCCTGATATTTTGCCCCCCTTTCTCAGGACCTACCTTTGGGCTATATCAGCATTAGAGTCATATTTCAGGGGTCAGGTTCAAGCCTTGGCTCAAATATTTACCAAAGTTGCAAGTCTAGGCTGTGTATTGAAACAACACTTTGAAAATATTGAAAAATTTGGTGTGTAAGTTCCACACAGCCCAAGTGCAAATTTTCATTGAACAAGAATAAAGAAGTCATGTCCTGAAAATGATGAGGAAGATGCATATGTTCCATTTCCATCCATTTCACAAAGGGGCACGTCATTAACTGGCTGGACAGCCTGCCTGCTCCATTATATTAATATCTATTCATATAATTTTATTCATATCAGAGTTTGACAACATGCAAGAACATAGTTAACATTTTAGAAAAGTACTTCATACACTTTATATAATACCAACCGGCAGTACAGCTAAAAGTGTTCCTCAAATCTTCATAAAAACAACGTGGACCATCTCCTCCTGAAACTGACCACATCTCATCACCTCCTGTGGCTCCCTTATTCCAGACTGGCCATTCCATATTGTGAGGGCCAACAGTTAACGTCTTGCTCAGTGGGGCCTGAACTCCCAGAAGAGGAAGTTGACATCAAGTTGACATCCATGAAGGAGCCCTAGCAAAACTGAAGTCAGTGGGACTCAGGTGGCAAACCCACTGCTGGTTGGAGTATACCTGGCACATAGGAAGATGACCGTGGTTATTGGAGATCAGTCATCTCAGCTCCAGGACATCTCTGCAGGAGTTCCTCAGGGTAGTGCCTTAAGTCTAAACTGCTTCAGCTGCTTTATCAATGACCTTCCCTCCATCATAAGATCAGAAGTGGAGATGTTTGCTGATGGTTGCACAATGTTCAGCACCATTTGTAACTCCTCACATACTGAAGCAGTCCATGTTCAAATGCAACAAGATTTGGATAATATACAGGCTTGGGCTAAAAAGTGGCATGTAACATTCATGCCACACAAATGCTAGACAATTACCATCTCCAGTAGGAGACAATCCAACAACTGCTCCTTGACAGTCAATGATGTAACAAAAATTGAATCCTCCATTATTGATATCCTGGAGGTTACCATTTACCAGAAACTCAGCTGGACTCACCACATAAACACAGTGGCTACAAGAGCAGGTCAGAGGCTGGGAATACCTCCTCAGTTCCAAAGCCTGTCCATCATCTATAAGAGTCAAGTCAGGAGTGTGATGGATAACTCCCCAATTGCCTGAAGAAGTTTGACATCTCCAGGACAAAGGAGCCCTTGACTGGCACCACATCCACAAGTATCCACTCCCTCTACCACCGACACTCAATAGCAGCAGTGTGTAATATCAACAAGATGCACTGCAGAAATTCACCAAAGATCCTTACTCAGCACCTTCCAAACACACGACCACTTCCATCTAGAAGGACAAGGGCAGCAGACATATGGGAACACCACCACCTTCAAGTTTCTCTCACCATCCTGACTTGGAAATAAATCACTGTTCCTTCACTGTCGCTGGGTCAGAATCTTGGATTTCCCTCCGTAAGGTCATTGTAGTCAACCCAAAGCACATGGACTGCAGTAGTTCAAGAAGGCAGCTCACTACCACCATCTCAAAGACAGATAGAGATGGGCAAGAAATGTTGGCCCAACCAGCAATGCCCAAGTCCCACAAATGAATTTTAAAAATGTTTCAGAGCACCCTGCCTCTCTGGAGGAGGAAGTAGAGGAGATGGAGCAGTATGAAATGCAGGAGGAGAAGGAGAACCATGAGGGCACCTGGTGCCACATACTTGGGGCAGAACCTTCTGGTGGTGACCCGAAACAGGAGACAGGTTTGTGGAGGGGGGTCTCAGCTGCTGGCTGTATAGCCAGAATGACCTCCATCCTACTTCTTTTTTCACATTCTTCTCCTTTCAGGCACTTAAGAGGCCAGCTATGGTCCTTTCCCTGGGGTCAATCAGAAACTGGCAGCTCTATCGAATGACAATGTCACTCAGAATGACAATCATCCAAAGACTAATATCATTGCAGGATCACAGGCCAGACGGAATGATAGTCGAAGATCTGTCACAGGACATGGAGGATAATCAAAAAGGGCAGGAGAATGACTCTCACTCACTGCCTTTGAATGAGGGACCTCCTCCTAAGAACCTGCGTTAGTTTGCTTGTTGTGCTCCCTACATTGTGAACCTCCTCTGCCTTGCACTGGGTTAATACACTGGACACAGGATGAGGCTCTTAAATGGCATGACTTTCCCACTTAACGACCTCAACTGGTGGCAGAGTAAGTGAGCTCTCCAAGGGTCTTGCTTCCACCAATCTAAGCTACAAGGTTATGGGCTCCCAAGCCACCTTCCCTCCTGCCTCAGTAAAATTCCTTCTGCTCCCAAACATGCTACAGGGGTCAACTCAGTCACAGTTCACTTAGATAATAATCATACAGCCATTTGGACCAGAAATTCCCAGCCCATTCGACTCAGCCCCTCCTTCAGGCCGCAGTCAAATCAATCCCACAATTAACAATTTGTCACTTTCACAGACACATAATACTCATCTTTAACTCTTATTTCACCATTCTAAACAAAGCAGGTTACTTTCAAAGCAGAAGGCTAATGTGAGGGTTATTGGGAAAATGGGAAATCGGAGCAAATGTGTAAATAGCTTGGTCCAAAAAAATGTACAGAAATGTAGCAATTTAATACTGTGATAAATGTCCACGTGCCTTCATTTGTACAAATACAGTTCTTTGCCCATCCTTCTTTGGTAATTCCTGCATGCTGTTTTCCTATGATACCAGCAGTGTTATGAGCAGAATGCTCAACCCCAACTCTGAGTGAGACACTCTTGACCAATTCTGTCCTGGTATATCCTTGGGGTGGAACGACCCCCCAGTCACTTTCTAAACCATTTGAACAGAGATTTAATACATGATTTTGAACTGACAAGCTGTTAAGCCATTATTATGCATGTGATCACTTTTTACTGGCTGTTGATATCACATCAACATGAGTGAGGATTGTGTGCCATATGGTTCTGTGACATTTAACAGATGACAGAGAGACCCTGATCTTCCTGTCCCCGCTAAGCCAGGCTGGCTGAGGTTTCAGTTTGGACAGCCATCTGCAGTTCTCTGCTTCCTTCCTGCAAGGAGTGAAAGAAAAAAAACACTTGCTGGTGTAAACAATGGAATGAATTGCAATGATGGACAACTTCTGTGGAGTATGACAATGAGCGAGAGCTGTGGTGTTACACTTCAATCAATATCCATCAATAATGAATGGTCAGATAGTGATGTGACAAGATACTTACACTGAGAGGGATGGGTGCATCAGAAAGATAAGCAGGAAAATGAATGATGTGCAGGACAAGGTTACAGCAGAACGAATAGCTTTGGGGTAAAATGCAGAAATGAACATACCGAAAGTACCATTTCACTTATCATTCCTGATATGATTGCATTATTAGACCTTATCTCATACAGTATCCAGAGCTGTGGCATCATATTCCTGTGGTAGGCTTTTTCCTCAAACATCAAGAAATTGAATCTCCCTGTGGAGTTTGAGCCTGAAGGATTTTCTTCAGTCAGGCATTGTTGAAGTATGATGTTACCCTGTTACCTTGTGTTTCCATTACTGCCGGTTGTGGCTCTGTGAAAAGGCCTCAATAATGCTTCATGTCTCATGTTTCCTGGAATCCCTATCAATAGTTGAGCTGAACTAGATTCATGCAGCACCTCAGCATGCCTGCTCACTCCAGTCATTCTGGAAGCCAGACTCAATACTGTGGCTGGGCGAAAAAGCCACTGATAAATTTGCTTCTGAAATCTTTGGGTTCTGCAGGCATTCCAAAGCTCCCCTGCTGAGTGGGTCAGTAAATCTAAATCCATATTATTTGATGTAGCAAAGCCATACTCTAGGACAGTTAGAAAATCCTATTTTTAGACAGACTATTTATAGTGTGCCTTTGAATATTGCATTTTGAATCTCTAGGTAATTCCTAGGATTTTTTTTCCCTTTTTTGTGTACTTTCCAGGTGCACAAGCCAATGGAGAGGAAATCGATGCCACATTCAGGTCAAACCAGCAGGATCACTGAGTCCTGCTCCAGTAACAAAGAAGGATGGAAATGGTAAAGAAAAATGTATCACTTTTAAATTCTTGTCTTCTGCAAACTCCTGCTACTACTAATTATTTTTCCTTTCTCTTAATGTAGTGTCCATGTGGGTAGGACTGAGTGTTGGCTTGAGTTTAGTTGTGCTCAGTCTGATCGCTGTCTTGGTCATACTTTCAAGAAAGAAAACAAGCAAGTACGTAACAGCAAAAGTGTTGTTATTGCTTTGTGTTGATGGATGTGTTGGACTGCTACACATAAATCTTCAAAAACATACAAACTTTAAAGAAACAAATTATGAAGTCACCTGAAATCTCTGAGTTAATTCAGTAAGAAATGTGTATAACCAGAGATAAAGCATCTTAGAAAATAAATTTAAGTGTTATAGCTCTCACTAATACAAACAAACATTGACTTCAAGATTTTACCTCAGAGACAGAGAAGAGAGAGAAGAACAGTTGCTGGAAACTCTTCTTCGGAGTCTATCCTATTGTTTACTCCCTACCCCATCCCTCTCCCTCTCCCTATTTTCTGCATTTAAGCTGAATTTTTCCCAGCTATCACCAGTTCTGAGGAACAGTCACCAGGCCCGAAATGTTAACTCTGATTTTTTCTTCACAGATGCTGCCAGACCTGCTGAGCTTTTCCAGCAACTTTGTTTTTGATCCTGATTTACAGTATCCACAGTTCTTTCGGTTTTTACTCAAAAGGGAATTGAACATCCATTTACATAAGAGAAAATGTGGGTATGCAAACTAATAACAATTAGAGTTGAATACAGACAATAATAGCAGTTGTAAATGTACAAAAAAAGAATAGGTTTTCCAAAAGGATAGGGTGAAGAAGGAACCAAGAGAGTCATGGAGGCGATCAAATCACGAGTTATAAACTGAGAAAAGACTGAATAAAAGAAGTGCATAGACGTAGTTTTAAATGTGAAGAAGTAACAATTTTTAAAATGTGCTGTAATGCTCAGAGTACAGGGGGAATAAACCAAGAGAATAGGAAACAGTTATATCAATTTTGTGAAGGAAACGTAGGTATTAATACAGCAAGATGAATGGAATGCAAATTAGCAGAAGTGGAGAAAACCAGGCACAACAATTTTTACGAGGGAAGAACAATTAAGTGGAGGGGGAGCTGCAATGTAATGAAGGAAGGAATATGTCTTGTAGAAAATATTGATATACACCAGAATTTGAGAGTCGATATCATTAGAGATCAAAGATTAAAAATGGATTGTTACAGAAGTATGATTGTCCTACTAATTGTAGCAGAGAATTCAAAGTTAAAGTCTATTGACTAATCAGGGAGGCAGGTTATTCTACTAGGAAACTTTAATTATCTACTCATTGATTAGGACAAAGAGAAAATGTAAAATTTCATTTCCATTATGTTTAGGATTCCTTCTTTATGGCCATATACAATACCTACCAGGGAAGGGACATTGCCAAATGTGGTTAAAATAACTACATTGATCAGGTAGATGAAGTAAATATGAATGAGCATCTTGGATAAGGCTTTGGAAAAGATGCGAGGCTGGCTGTGTAGAATATTTCAGCAAATTGAGAAAGGATTCAATTGTGAGCTGAAAATTGAAATTTAGATCAACAGTGGGATAATTTTTAAAAGACAATATCAACATCACAGAATAAAACAATGCATCAAAACTAGACTACTTCAATTTCAAGATGGTCTGAATGGATAAAATACATAGAAATAAATTCAGAGTGAAGAGGCTGCATGCTGTCTGTAGTCACCATAAAATAGGAACGTAATAAAGGATATACAATAAAACAAGGACAAATTGGAAAAGAAATTGATGGAATCAGTATATAGAGAGAATCTCACAAAATATTAAAATAAAATATCGATGTTTCTATAAATATATTAGTTAAAAACGATCAAATGTGAGTGGGATCCTACAGGGGAGAAGTCAGTATATAAATAAAAAATCAGAAATTAGTCATGATAATTTACAGATACTTTGCTTTATTTTTTATGGACATAATTCTGGGAACAAGATAAATTGTGAATTGGGTGACAGTGAGATTTGCTAAAATATAATGAATAGAAATAAATTAAGAGGATATGTAAGCGTACAAAACAAACACAGAAAATGCTGGAGAAACTCAGCAGAACAAGCAGCATCAGTGCAGACAGAAATGGAGTTATTATTCAACTGAAGAATTCCGAAGAATAGTCATATGGAACTGAAACATTAAAGTTATTTCTCTCATCAGAAAGAAATGCTTCCATATCTGCTGAGTTTCTATATTTGTTTCAGATTTCCAGCGTTCACGATATTTTGCTTTTATATTCTAGAGTCCTGAGAGAAATGAGCGAAAGAACTGATGGCAGCCTTAGAAATTATATTGCGGGGTTTCTAGTAAATGTGAAACAGAGCTCTGGAGAATGAACAATACAATGCCCATTTTCAAAACGTCCACAGCCAGGACATATCTGGCATCAAAAACAGAAGTTGCTGGAAAAGCTCAGCAAGTCTGGCAGCATCTGTGAAGAAAAATCAGAGTTAACATTTCGGGTCCGGTGACCCTTCCTCTGGCATCAGCAGGCCATTCAACCCCCCGCAGCATGCGTTGTCATTCAATAAGATCATAGCTAATCAACTTCACTTTCCTGTTTTCCTCCTATAACCCTGAAGTCTCTTGTCAATTTAAGATCTGTTTCATCTATCCTTCAATATATTGAATGACCTCCACCTCCACTGTTCTCTGAAGCAGAGAATTCCAAACTCTGAGAGAAATAAATTCTCCTCCTTTTCGATTAAAAATCAAAATCCATAAGCTGTCCGCTACTTCTAGAGGAAGTATCCTCTCAGGGAAACATCCTCTCAGAAAACGCCGTAAGATCATAAGATGAAGGAGCAGAAGTAGGCCATTTGGCCCATCAAGGCTGCTTATCCTCAACTCCATTTTCCTGCCTTCAGCCCGTCCCTTGATTCCTTGACTAATTAAAGTCTGTTTATTCTCAGACATGAATTTACTTATTGACCCAGCCACTACAGCCCTCTGTAGTAAAGAATTCCACAGAATCACTGCCCACCAAAAGAAAAAAAATCCTCTTCATTTCACTTCTACACAATACAGCACAGTGGCTCAGTGGTTAGCACTGTTGCCTCACAGCGCCTGGGACCTGGGTTCGATTCCACCCTCAGGCAACTGTCTGTGTGGAGTTTGCACGTTCTCACCGTGTCTGCGTGGGCTTGCTCCGGTTTCTTCCCACAATCCAAAGATGTGCAGGTTAGGTGGAGTAGCGAGCTAAATTGCCCTAGTGTTGAGGGATGTGTAGCTTAGGTGGGTTATAGGGGCATGGGTCTGGGTGGGATGCTCCAAGGGTCGGTGTGGACTTGTTGGGCCGAAGGGCCTGTTTCCACACTGTAGGGATTCTATGAATACCCATCCTAGGGTGGGTGTTGTATGATCAGAAAGAAATAATTAGCAATCTAGCTGTGCAAAGTCCCTTGGGGAAGAGTGACCAGAATATGATAGAATTCTTCATTAAGATTTATTTTTATTCATTTATGAGATGTGGGCATCGCTGGCTGGCCAGCATTTCTTGCCCATCCCTAGTTGCCCTTGAGAATGTGGTGATGAGCTGCTTTTTTGAACTGCTGCAGTCCTCCTGCTGTGGGTTGACCCACAATGCTATTAGGGAGGGAATTCCAGGTTTTTGACCCAGCGACAGTGAAGGAACGGCGATATATTTCCAAGTCAGAATGGTGAGTGACTTGGAGAGGAACTTGAGGTGATGATATGTCTGCTGCCCTTGTCTTTCTAGATGGAGGTGGTCGTGGGTTTGGAAGATGGACAATGAGGTTGTTGTTTTTGAGACTAGGGTTCTAATTCTAAATAAAGGAAGCAATGATGTCCTGAGCTACGAGCTGGCTATGAAAACTTGAAAAATGCTGGTTATAGGGATAACAGTGGATAGTAATAACAGACATTTAAAGAGTGCATGGAGGAACTGCAACAGTTGTTCATTCCTGTCCCACACAAAAATAAAACAAGAATGGGAGACTGACCATAGCTAACAAGGAAAGTTAGAGATAGTGGCAAAAACAGAAATTGCTTGACAAGCTTGGCAGCTCTGGCAGCATCCATGGAGAGAAATTAGACTTAACATTTTGAGACTGAGGAAGGATCACTCAGCCCGAAACATTAACACTGATTTCTCTCCACAGATGTTACCATGCCTGCTGAGCTTTTCCAGCAATTTCTATTTTTGTCTCTGATTTACAGCATCCGCAGTTCTTTCAGTCTTTTCTTTAAATTAAAGATAGTATTATATTCAAGGAAGGGGTATAAACATTGTCTTTAAAAAAAACAGCAGACATGAGGATTGAGAGCAGTTTAGACTTCAGGAAAGGGGGACAACGGGAGTTATTAAGGAGGGAAAGATAGAGTACAGAAATAAGTTTGTGGGGATCATACAAACTTTTTGAAAAATTCACTCATGAGATGTGGGCATCTCTGGCTGGCCAGCATTTATTTGCCCGTCTTGAACTGCTGCAGTTCATGTGCTCTAGGCAAACGCACAGTGCTGTGAGGGAGGGAATTCCAGGATTTTAACTCAGCGACAGTGAAGGAACAATGATATATTTCCAAGTCAGGATAGTGAGTAGCTTGGAGGGGAACTTGTAGGTGATGTTCCCATGTATCTGTTGCCTTTGTCCTACTACATTGAAGAGATCATGGGTTTGGAAGGCTTGTAGAAAGTACACATTGCTGGGAGAGGGAGTGCATGTTTGTCAATGTGATGTCAATCAAGCAGGCTGTAATGTCCTAGATGATGTCAAATGTTGTTGGAGCTGCACTGAACCAGGCACGTGAGCAGTTTCCATCACACTCCTGGCTTGTGCCTTGAAAATGATGGACAGGATTTGGGGAATCAGGAGGTGACTTATACACTACAGTATTCCTAGCCTCTGACCTGGGCTAGTAGTCTCTGTGTTTATGTGGTGAGTCCAGTTCTGGTCAATGGTAAACTCCAAGATTTTGACAGTGGGGAATTCAGTGATAGCAATGTCATTGAATATCAAGAGGTTACGGTTAGGTTGTCTCTTATTTGAGATGGTCATTGCCTGGCATTTGTGTGGCAGGAATATTACATGTCACTTGTCATTCCAAGCCTGGATATCATCCAGGTCTTGCTGCATTTGGACATGGACTG